TTCGAGTAGTTTTGACACAGAAAACGAAATTATCCCCCTAGATCCGCCCTTGAGTAGAGCATCCAAAGCTACAATTCTATGTACATTTAACGGTATTAAAATGAGCTGTAGTTTCCAAAGCCCCTGTACTCATCAAAAACAAAACTCACCCTGTATACTTTTACAAGGTAATTAATTCTTAAGGATTCTGTATCGATCTTACGATATTCATAAAGTACAACATAATTGTACATTGTTAATTTTCAGACTAGTTCAGCATCTTCGGACAGTATTTGTTTCCGATCTTATCAGTTGTTAAACAAAATTTTAAATTGTTTGACGGAATATGAGATGACTGATGATTTGTTTGCCTACATGCAAAGTGTTTTAATTGATCGTTTGTTGGTAAGTGTTTTAATTTACTAATATAAGATTCCAGGAAGTAGTATACCGGGTCTTTTTAATTTGTTTTAAATCCGTTCGATATTTTACAGGGCGGTTTCTCAGGTATTTTTTAGCACATGTCCATACGTACTACAATGCCTTACTTATCGAGCTACAGGGTGTGAAGATATTTTTGTGTTTTTTGCAACTTGAAAACTCAAATAGGTTTTGTAACATGGATAACTTATATTTGATCTTGGTTTTGCTCTCACATGTGGAGGGCACTACCTACCTACCTGTATTTACTCTTGAATGGTCAAAGCTTTTTCATGAATGCTTGTATCAAATATTTTAGCCAGAAAATATCAGCAATTTTTTCGTCAATCAGGTATTCATATCAAAATTAATCGACGCATGTGTTTTTCAAAAAGTGAATCTATTTTGTAAACTACCCTTTCCTTCCACCTTACCTTTTTTAATTAAAAATAACCAACAATTCATTGACTCGCACACTCGTTGGAAAACACCAGAGTATTTTGAATCGTTCTTCCAGAGTCTATTATTCGATTTCTTTGCTTTTGTTCATTTTGAATATGTGTTTGTGAAACTAAGGTTTTGAGATGTTCCCAAGGAAAGAATCTAAAGCTCTCCGATCCAACGATTATTGAAAGTTTGAGACAAAAGTTCTCGCGCCAGTTTGCTAAAATGTGCCATGCACAGTCAACTTTTCATTTTCCAGTCTAAGCGGATTCTGTATCAATAAGATAGGCAAATCTTCTTCAAAAAAATGACTACATCTCTAGCTGTTTAATATTTGAAAACAAAATTATGGGCCTATCAAATAATCTCCAATTAATCCTACCCACCCGATAATTTACCCAGGCCTAAGTTACATACATACAGTTCTAATTTCTTAAGAAGCGACTTAGGCGGTCTATCTTTACAGGCACTTCTTTAAACATGGGATAATTTTTTCCATTTTATTAATGTTGATAAATAAAGTAAGAGTTAAAAACAATGTAATTATTTTATTTATAAACACAGAACACAAATACATACTTTTTCTCAGTTCTGAAAAGTTTACATTTTGGCAATTCGATCAGTTAGTTCGACCATTCTCCAGTTAATGATAATAAAAACGTTTTAGGAGCGATGTAACTGCTGGACTGGATAAATGTTATAGAAATTGTTACAGTTTGGTAGAATAATATTAGTAATGCTAACTAATTATATACTTATTATATAACATGTTTTAGGATGATAATAGTGCGATACGGTTACAAACAATAGATGCCATTTGTCGGTTTCAAGATCCAACAAATCCTACGGATCCCGTTATTGAACGATTTATGATGCTTTTGCATGATAGCGTGGCTCTGGTAAAAACATTAATTTGCTTTTAAACGCATGCAACTAGAATAATGGTAATTTTATAAAAAATTTTACATTTTAGGTCCGACAGCGTTGCGTGGAAAACATCGTTGTACGGCCCGATTCCATAAAGGGTATTGTAGAAAGAATAAACGACGTAAATGTGAATGTAAGATTAGCAGCGTTCAAAAGATTGTCGAAATGCGTGAAATCTATTAAGGTTGGATTTATTTTTGGTCTACATGTTAACTCGTTTGAACAACAGTCTTGTTTATTTCAGATTTCCGATCGAAGAGAAATTTTGTTTGCCGCAGTTTACGGCAAAGATTCCAAAGTTAGTAAATGCATTTATGCAGAGTTGCTGCCGGCATGGTGGGAAACGTACGACTGCGACATACTTAAGTTGATGTTGTCTATTAGACTGGATGGAGATGAAACTGATATGAAAGAAACCAGCAAATTATTCGATATAATGTTGAATAATTTTTTTTTCAAGTATGTATTGGACATTTTCGGAATCTTCGTTCAGATCAGATCAACATTTTTAAATTATACTTAAAAAATTAAGTGTTACAATGTGACATCGCCTTATACAGGGTGTACGGAAATGAATGGAACAAGTTCCTATAACACGAAAACTCAATAATAACTGACGACGGGGCGTTCAGGTTAGATTTTTAAAATTGCTTGGAACAACTTTTTTGTTGGTTAAATGATTGTTTTAAATTTTTGGATGGTTTTGGTGGCTCAAATGGTTCTTGAGAAACCTCGAAAAAAGCAGCGTCATGTTTAAGTGGATTTTGCAACTCGAAAAAAAATTACGCAAATCTAAAACTTCTTGAATTCAAGCATTTTTTGAGAAACCTGCCAACAATTCCCCATCCATGGTTCACTTTCTAAAAAGCCCATTTATGTCTGTCTAAAATGATGTACAAATGAGCGCTTGCTCATTTTGTCTCCGAGATATGAGCAAAAACGGGACGGAAAACCCCAGGCAACAAAAAGCGGAAAACAAAAAAAGTTTAGGTTATTAAGTAGATGACAAAGGTGAATTCAACCCTTTAGAATTAAGGTGTTAAATTAGCAATTGTTGAAGAATACTACAAAAGATCATGGGTAATTAATTGGTAATGGGTAAAAAGTGTACCAATTTTTAATCAATGGAACAACCAACAAAAAAGTTATTTCTAAAAAATATTTTTTTAAATAGAACTTTAACGCTTATTATTGACATTTTGAAAAATTGTTATGGAAACTTGTCACACTTACTGCAGATTGGCCTCGTTTAGTGTTGGTTACCCGTTTCCAGACACCCTGTATAATGCAGAGAAACCCAAATTTATTTAATTTATTTCCGTTTCTCCTTTCAGGGGCAGACCTCAGAACAAGCTTGTGGCAGTTTTACCATTAACAAATGAAAAATTAATCCCATATGAACAGTTAAACGTAGAAATTCTATCATACTGGCGGGCGTTAGTTTCACTATTTACTAAAAATAATGAATTTGAACTTTACGTTGAAAATGTTATTCCAGATGTGGCAATATTTTGTGAGTATATAAAAGAGTAAGTATCGTTAAAAACCCACTTTTAATAATAATTATAATTATTAATTAAAAAAAAAATATTAAAAAGTAAAGATTTCATATACAAATTTTAATGCAAAATAAAACAAACAAGAAAATAATAGAAAAACGAATTTACTTGAAATTTGGCACTGTTTTTCCGATACAAGCTGATATATATCAGCCGGAATTGCAGCTTTCTAATCGTGCATCTCACAGTCTTGATCGGTGGCCTTTTTTAATTAATTTGATGGTTGAAAATAATTGTTCCCAAACAGACGTACATCTGAACAGAGACATTATTTGCTTTGCATTTTTTGTCAAAAGGGGAAATTTTTCAGGGTTCACATAGGACTTATACAAATTTTTGATGTTTACTGAGAAAAATACATGTCGTCATAATGATATATACACAAATTAATTAGGTAATGTTATTGTAGAAAAGTGAGCTAAATCAGGTTGTTGGAAGTGAACTGCATATGATCTGCACGTTGTGGACAAGCAGTTGTTTGTTTTATTTTTCCTTTTCTGCAGCGCTTTTGCTGCTCTTTAAAACTATTACGCAAATACAGTTTTTGTAATAGCACACTTTGCGCTCAATTCTTATATAATCTATTTAATATATTTTTTAGTTATTTATCTAGTCAAACTGATGAGACCTATCTGATACAGCAATACATTATGCAGGAATTATTTCTCATTATCAGAACGTACGATCTTTCCGATAGCTACAGCGCTAAAAGTGTTCATATGTTGATTGAACACTTTTTAAAAAATGCCATTCTGGTAGATGATACTATTGAAGTAATCACAGGTATTCTTTATTTTGAAACATCTTACGAAAATCTAATATAAAATACAAATATTCGATAAATATATGATTTAGTTACTGTTTTAGGCACTTTGCAGTTGATTTTCCCGGACTGCGAGGCACAGTCTCAAGTTGTAATGAAAATAATTTCGGATCTATTGTACCCTGTGGACGCTGATGGGGAATTAGAACAGCAGTTGGACAAAGATGTTCAGGTATATCAACATTTTACAGCGTTTGTCATTGACTGTACTCAAAATGTCGTTTTTAATTTCAATTGCATTTTCTATTTGTACAGCGTCTAAGCAAAACCATGATTGTCTGTTGATTTCTTCATATTGTATGTTTTTGTCAATTAGCTTGCCAAATTGAAAGTAGAGCTAAGTACGTTACGTAACGATCTAGATGAGGCCATAGCAAAAACTGATTTTCAAAAAGCTGCAGAACTTAAAGATGCAATTCAGTTAGTATCAGCTGAAGTAAAAGAATTTGAAAATGCAGTTCCTGCACCTATCCAAGCTAAGACACAGGATATTCCAACGATTTGTAAATGCCTAGATATTTCTTGGGCCTTGCTTCGTTCTTATAAGGTAAGAGTTACAGCGTATAAGTTAAGTTATTTATACAGTTGCGTATAAGTTATATAGTTACGTGTAAGTTGTACAGCACACCGTAACCGATCAATGTTTCCTATTATGAAATGAAATTGTTTCTGAAAACTGGTATATGCCACTGGTTCACTGGACCTAACAGTTCTGAGCACTCTTTTGCACGGTTCTATTAAAAAATGCTTACCTACTGAAAAGTGATGTTGATGGTTTAAAAGCAAGAAATCCGATATTTTGTTAACGTTTGAAACACTGTTATTTTAGCGGTTACGTTAAATACCGACCATCCCTACTTCGCCGTTGCCGGTTAATGTGAACACCACCATTTACTTATCTATTAAGAATGTTTTGTCTTGTCTTGTCTGTAGTATTTACGTATTTGTTTCTTTTTTAGAAAAGCAACCTGACAACAACGTTGAAACATATGCAAACCGAGTTTGTAACGAATCTTTTAATTCATGAACATGAAGCAGTTCGATTTAAAGCTTTGAGATCGTATGCGGTATGCTGCGTACATGACAAAACGACCGCCTGCACAGGAATACACGTTTTTGCGTTGCCGGTAATTATCATATTTTGCCACTTAATCAAGATACAAGATGTAATTCAATTACGATTGTATTGTGTTCAGATATTTGCATATCAAGGTGGTCAAGAATGTGAATCCCGTACACTCATCACGTGTATATCAGCGATATCAGATCTTTTAAGACTGTATGGTTCGGACTTGTTGCCCAGCCCAGACCGCGATCAATTATCTGACAGTGTGAATGAAGAGCACGTAACAATTTTCACTGGGGGAACATCACTATCCGCACTAGTACAAGGACTTGTAGATTTAATGGAAAATGAGGTGAGTGCGTACAGGGTGATTTACCACGGCCATGGAGTAGAAGAATTGTGCTACAACTGTAGCSCCCCCTAGAAACYACAARCCCACCAATAGGAAATTTGGATTTGCCGATCTAACTGGTTAAAAATCTATTCGGAAAAAACGAAATTTTTATTTACACTTTGACACTCTGTATCTSGGAATCTAACTTTCGGATGAGACAAACTTGCCCGAAACGCAATATGTCAGTTTATTTTTGGATATTAGTTGAGGACCACCCTGTATATTATAACTTACACTATTTTAGTTTTATTAATCTATCAGACTGTGAAGGCCCTCACGGCCGGTCAAATCACATTTAGAAATGTTTGTCGGGCTTTAAAGCCGTGGTCCATCGGAATTTCTTCCTGACGTTTCGTCTACACCTGTGGTGGACATTATCAAAGGCGATGAGGCAGTGGGCGAAGTGATCTCCCGTGCTTACCGACTAAGACTGGTTCAATATGAGCAATAACGGGCCGGAAAACATGAAAT